AATAAGGTTTGTTCAATCCTTCCAGTTTGAAGGTTCTGTTTCCGACGTAATCGTATTCTATCTTGACGATTTTGTAGGATTGATTGCTCCATTTTGAGTTATACTCCTTCCTCTCGGTGTAGTTGTCTTTTTTCTTCTCAAAAACCTTCACCATATCATTCACTTTCACCTCTGGGTATTTGCGGGTGTTCTTTTCCCTCCTTGTCAAATTCACCCTGACGTTCATATGGTTCTTGTCGTCGTGGGCATCCTTGGGTTTCATTTTGGTTGATGAATGGACGGTGTCGTTGTATTTATCCAACGCTTTGGACAACATAACAGTCCAACTACCACGATTAAACCTCACCCTGTCGTGTATCATATTCTTCATTGTCCTTATGAAACGCTCCACAGCATTGGCGTGAGTTAGGGTGACGACGTGAGTGATGCCTTCTTTCTCAAAGAACTCTTTTACCCCTGCTTGGAAGGCACGGTCATTATCACTATAAACGGACATCGGAAAACCCATTTTGTTGAAACTCTCTTTCATCGCCGATAATGTAATTGGTCCGGATTTTTCTTTCATGGGGACGACGTTTGCCAACTTGCTGAAGATGTCAATGACCACCAACCCGTATCTCGGTTCGTCGTTCTTGATGGGAATTTTCGTCTCTGGTTCTTTAGTTAGGGATTTCATATCCATTATGTCAATCTGATATTCAAACCTTGCGAAGGGTGCGGTGTAGGAGTTTGAACCCCTGTATTTTCTAATCTGTTTGTTGGGCTGTTTCCTCATAAAGTTTTCCACATCTACCCTGTTGATGGTCTGGTCTTGTTCCTTGGCTTTCTTGAGGGTCTCATTGATTGAACCGAAGCCCGTTTCAAGATTGTAATAGACATTGCTTATGATGTCATCTCGTGATAGTCTCCTTGCCATATATTACAATATTAGATTTTTAAAATTATCAGCAATAAAACATATACTTAAAGAAAAAATGCCTATATATAGTAAGAGTGAATAAGATGACTAAATTTGACTGTGGATGTCGTATTATGACAGATGTTATAACCCTGAACGGAAGAAACCAACCTAATTGGAGCTACTTGCTCAAAACCTTTGTGAATGTGTGTGGCAAGTGCTACAGGAAGCAAATAAAATTCCAATATATGGAAAACAAACTTATGGTGATGGAAAAGCAAAGAATGGAAATGTTTTTGGAAAATGAGGATGAGGAGGAAGACACATACTTTGACCTGACAGAGTTGAAGGAACATCTCAAAACCCTCCCACCCAATGAAAGACACAAAGTGAAGGATTTTGAGAGGTTAAGAAACCTCGCCAATGGACAAGACCCCAATGAAGGAATGAGTGAAATTGATATGGTTATAAAGGAACTGGAAGAGGAGGAAAGGGAAAACAAAAACCAACCCGAACCCGAAAACTGAACGAGCCCCCAAAAAATACTTAAAGAAAAAATGACTATATATAGTAAGAGGATGCTATTTACTTATAAAAACTGCGGATGCTGTAAGAAAGAAATGACTGACATTAAGGTTTTATTGAACAACATTTTTCCGGCTGGAATTTGTGATGAGATATGTAATTACAACCTTCACTGTTCTAAATGTAAGGACTTGAATGATAAGCAGCGCAGATACATAAAGTTCAATTATCATTTTGACTATTTTAATGATAAAGAACTAACAAGAGTTGAAAAGCAAATATATTTCTTTAAAACAAGGATGGAGAAATCACCTATCTATTTGTCTAATACTAATCGGACAAACACTCGGCAAATGAAAAGAGAAATTGATGTTTTAATGGATACATCCAAACTCAAGCAAGAATTCAAACACAACAAACTGTTCTTAATGGCGATTAAGTCTTTTGTGAAAAGGGAGTGGAAAACTACCTATCACTTCCTTAAAAACTTTCACAACCTTACATATATGAAGTATTGTAAGGACAAGCGGGAGTGGTGGTTTCCTCAAAATGATTGGACTTATACATTTAGAAATAGGGAGTTTCAGGTAAAAGACATTTTGGAAATCTTCTTGCGTGAATACCTTGAAGAACTGTTCAAGGGTTATGAGAAATACTGTAATCAAGAAGAAATAAAAGAGCACCTACAAAAAGTGATAAATACTTAAAGATAAAATAACTATATATAGTAAGAGAAAATGAGTAGAGCAAAAATTGAGGTTATAGATATAGGTAATATCGGTTTATATGCTGACTTTGGTAGTGAAAGCGAAGACGATGACTGGGAAAGAAAAGCAATAGAAAAAGAAGATGAAGAGATTAGAGACTTTGTAAGGTGTCATCCTATGCCTTCACCAGATGATGAGGAAGGAGACAAATTTTAGAAGAAAGTAATTGACAGGTTGAAAAACGACCAAGGATTAAATGCTATGATAATATATTCGTTTGTAAACTTTGACATTATGAAAAAGATGTATGAAAACCTCACTGATAAAAAGGTCATCGTTGATTGTGGTAAGGAACTTAACCGTGATGGAAAATGGGATGCTATGGCAATAAATCAAACTCTATTAGCATTAGCAATAGATGAACTGAATGATACAGACAAACCTATCACAAGTCAAGTCAGGATAATTGAACACTGGTGGGATGGAATAGGAAAGTGGAAAGCATAAATGATTAATTCATAATATCTTAACAAAATATATTATGAAGTAATCACCCGCCCAAACACAAGCATAAACCCCAACAGCCTAAACAATTATCCCCCTCATCTTAAACCAAACCATCAAGTGAAAGTTAGGGGCAAAATAGTCCCAAAACCCCCACCACATAAAACATCAAAGGTAAGGAAGAAACATTGAACAACAATATAAAAACCATAACAGGTAAAACAATTCAACACACAGACACAAACCTAAACAAAAACATGACAACCGAGCAATGAACAAACAAAAAGCAAAAATAATGAAACAGGAAACGATGAACACTTAAGAAGAAAATAGCCGCAGAAATCCCACCTGAAAAACATCAAAGGAAAGGAAGAAACATTGAACAAGAACATGAAAACCAGAACAGCCTCAACAAAACCCACCCTCATTGAAACCAAACATTATTACATCAACCTCAACAAACATTTAGCAAGATAATCAAAAAGAAACAGTCAAACATTTCAGATTCCAAGATTGAACAAAAACATTACAGCCTCCCACCTAACCTCCAACCTGTCTTGTCCTAGCTTCCCCCTTCTACCATTTTTTTCTGGGATTTAAGCAAACGGTTTGGGAATTTAACCAACTAGTTTATCGGGACATAATCGCAGGAACATTGATGTGATCATCAATGAACCACAACTCACCTCCAGTAAACCTGGGAATGAAGAATTACCCAGTTAGTTCTATGTTTCTCACATGAATTCCTATGAAAAGTTGGCGTTGTCCATTGCCATGTTGAATTACCAGAGGGTACTTTTGGCCCTGTTGAGAGATATCCAGGGTGACATTATTTCTGATTGCAAAGTATAACTTTTGATCAGTGTTTGCAGTACGTACTCTTCATGAACCAGAGTTTATTGCTGAGTCATTCATATTCATGCCACATACAACACCTCCTGCTGAAGTCACATAAACTTCGCAGTATTCTGCCAGTGGATTTTGCTGGACTTGCTGAAGATCTACAATTCCTGGGTGTCTGACAAGGACAGTGAAGATTCCCTTCCCTGCACCCGTATAGAGCCCCAATGGTTCTGTGTCTGGCGCAGGAGTGCGAAGTGATCGTCTCTGGCGGCCTAATGCCCTTGCGTCGGGCTTCCTGGGATTGTGACGGACGAGAAGTGCAGAAGCTAATTGTGTTGATGTAGCTTTGTATAGATACACACTTGAAATCTCAGATGCAATTGCTTTTCAGCTCTTGGCTATATCCGATCTTGCCATTGATGTGAAAGGTTTGTGCACCACGACGTTCATGAGGATGCTGTGCTGCTTGTAGCCAACCCTTTCCGCAGAGTATTTTTACCGCAGAGTTGTGGCTGCAGCTTCCCACACTTCGTTCACTGGTCACTTTGCGTCGGCAGCTAAATGTCGCTGAAGTTGTGTCTGAGAGATAAACTCAAAATAGCTCAGATGGACTTATATATTATATTATATACTATATATATACAGGTATGTACAGTGTGTATATATATATAGATATCTGTAGAGATACTAATATTGACAGCAAGGTTGACTTCAGAATGCACCGTTTTTGCATTTTCTTATCGTCTGACCAGGAATTTGGAGTCCAGGCATGCCCGAGCTTGAGGAGGTTGAGCGCTTTGGGGCCATGATCAGCCGACCTGCCCTGTGTTGCCGCGCCGCGCGAGACAATCGCTGTGAATCCATGAAGTCTTTCTTGCTACTGATACTATTATAGTAATGTGGCAGTGTGTCAAAACCTTGTACCCCTGGTGAACATCAAAATAGCTGGTAAATGGATGTTCATCCCACTAAAAACGGTATCTATAGGTATTGACCCATACCCATGTTGGAAGGGAACGTTGCTCAAACAGCTTGTGGAGAACTTGGGAGTTGCAACAGATCGCAACAGTTGCCTTTGGCCTCTGGCTACGGATGAACATGAGTGGCCCACAGTTATGGACAGTTCCATACGATGCCACATTTCTCGGCACATCCTAGCCCGATTTTTGACTAATACCCATCAATTGCTGGGATTTCGGGCTCAAGTCTCAGCTAGACAGAAGCCATTGCGCAAGGAGTGAAAGTCATACAGATGGAACATTTTCACTTGCTGTCTCCTGAGAACCATCTAGATAACTGGAACAAGGCGCGAGTCAACTATATAATTATATAATTGATCGAAATTCTTCAAGCACAAACGCTGACAACCACGTTTGGAAGGACACTTCCACCAATTAAACACTTAGGAAGACCTATCAACAGCCGACAGCGTTGCACTGTCCCCACAGTGCGGCTCCAGGTTGTTTTGGATGGGCGCGGCAGCTTCTGATGTGAGGTGTCGACCTAGTCGACCCAGTCCTGACATGGTGACAGCATGTTGTATCGCGCGCAAAGGAAACTTCCGGACAGGGCCCGCAGTGAATGGAAAGATGGAACTCTTACGGCTCCCACAGGCTCTGGAAGACACCAGCAGCGATGAAGGGGCTATGATTCTGCCATTGAAGCGCAGAGCCAAGGTCACCTGGAGATCAGATCGATTCTTGGAAGACAGATATGAGATTCTGGAAAGTGGTGATGAATGGACCAATGCGCGTAGGTCTGAAGATATCAATTTCTCTGAACTTCCGGAGCTGGCTGTTGCCCGAAAGATGACCTTCAAGAAAGACGCGGCCAGTTCGGCTCGGCAGCGGGCCGCGCGCAGGAAGGGAAAAGAGAGCGAGGATTCCCCAGCAGATTCCACGCATGTCGGGCACCAGGAAGAGGGTCCCTCTCCAGAAACCGAGACGTAGATCAAGTAGATCAAGTAGATCAAGTAGATCGAGGCAAGGTGCACGTGCTGCACGTATGAGTTTCCAGAGTGTCAGCATGATTGATTTGAGGTCAGCTTCAAGTGTGAAGACTTGCAATGGTCTTTCTCTTATTAAGATGCCAATCAGGCAATCATACAGAATCCTAAGAGGGGATGCTGGGAAGTGTTGCCCAAAGGGGTACACATTGAGATAGTCGAGGCTGCTAGCTGGTTACAAGGCCGGCGTGCAGTGTTCGAAGAACGAATCATGTTGCACAAAGCACGGATCTCCCCATTTTGTGCGAAAAATGAGAATGCTTGCTTGTACTGTAATGTAATTCTAGTCTTCCCAAGCAAGGTGCTTTGGCCTTCTTCAAAATGCAATTTTCTCCCAAATTAAGGTACCCGTGAAATTGCTGGTCTATCATCATGTTCACCATCAAAATGGTCATTTTTGCCAGCATTTTCAGGTGCCAACCCCATCTGAGTCAGATGGTATATCGCCAGGCAAGCTTGCGTTGCCAGAGACTTTAGCTGGAAATACACAGCGCCTGGAGCGTCTCTTGCTTCAACCGGTGGTTTCATCAACGACTTGCGATCCAAGAACAGCAGGGCTTCCAGGGTTCCATTCTAGTTTTCAGTGCCTTGCATCCATGATGCGCCTCCAAACGACCCGGTTGAAACCCAACAGGCATGGAACTGCTGTTGGGAATTTCAAGCGATAGTATCCGATAGGCGTTTTTCTGAGTCTTGATCACCATCTGACTATAGTACGTAACGATCATGGTCTTGCCGTGTTCAAACTAAGCACTCCGCATTGGGTTATCTTTGCTTATTGACTCAGCTTCACTTGTCCTTGGAACCCATGCATATGACAGCCCAGGTTACAAGCTGGCTTTGTTGAGTGCAGTCGAGAGCCTGTACTGGCTCATCTTTGGACATTTGCTAAACTAAAATGTGGGAGGATATCGTTTGGGGCTATCTTTTGGATGAATTTTATCATTTCATTTGAAAGGGTCATTCAGAAGAATCTGCTGTCATGCTTGGTCGCAAGGGACAAGAAGAAGCCATTCCTGGGAGAGGCCTGACTCGACCCCATCAAGTCACCTCCAGCCATTCTTTGGTGCAAGACCTTTTCATGTGTCAACTAAAGCTATCAGCAGATTGCAATCAGAAAAATCACTTGACCAAGATCCAATCCCATGACCAAGACCCAATCCCAACCATGCGCAGTTAAAGCGCTTGCTGAAGCCGTCAAAGCAGTGGCTGAATCAAGAGCTGCGCGCTGCCGCCACAGTGCACTGGGTAGCAGAACGGGTCAAGATGGCTTTGCCAAGTGAAAATGTAGGGTACACCCCAAATCCACCGGTTAATCATCATTTTCCCTATGAATATGTATATACAGTATATACATTTACACACACATATATGTATATGTATATATATATATATGTATGTATATATACATATTGCCATTTGGGGATTATACCTCATATTCAGACACACCCAATATGACCTTCACATCAATATTGGTGTTCTGTCAGCCTCGGAAGCATATAGATGCTGAAGAGTTAGATGCTAAGATGGTCAGAGGTATGTGCTTCTGACACTTCCCGCTACTTCCTTGTGCCGCCCTTCGCCGGCGAGCCCCCCTGTATTCTCCTGCGTCAACCGCCACCAGGCAAGGGGTTGAGATTTTTTTCAAGTCAGAACTCTCTGTGTCAAGACATTCCTTGCACTTGTCAAGCAACCCAGAAACAAAAGCAACAGAAAGTGCCTGTGCATTTGATCTTTGACAGTCCACTTCCTGGTGAGGTTTCGATGAATGGTATTGCGGCCTTCCCGTTGAAAGCCAGCTATCTGAAGACCAAGAAGCTACAAGGTGCGGATACGGCTTGCAGGGCTTGCAAGCAACCCTCAATGGGATCATTTAAGGGAACATCTACTGGAAACCATGTTTTGTTCTAATCAAACTAGGTTTCCTGTAGATTTCCCTCCAACAAATTCCAGGAACACGATCTTTGCTCACCTGCCAGGCAGCTTGAGGTTTCTATTGGCTGTGCGCGTGCGCTGACCATGCGGGAGGTGATTGATAGCTTCTACAAAGATTGCATTGAGCCAAGTCTTCCCGAGGTGCCGTTGGGACAACAAGGCCCCAAAAAGGTCAGCCAATGGTCAACATTTTCGATGACCCCAGGCCATGACTTCCGAAGTATCATCACTCATGTGGTAAACCCAATCAGAAACTATCCCCAGTTTCACCAGACTTGGGTGGTATAAACCACCAAGTGGCCCAAGTGCCAGGTCCAACAGCGTTTGCGCTCCCGCGGCTGGACTTTCGTTGAGTCGCAGCAGGCCGTGCTGCTGTACGTCCGGAACGCTCAGATGGGACAACGTTGGGTACCCGTGTGGGGTTTGGGGGTCCCCAAAAATCCCATGATTGAGACCTGAGATTGTTATTTTTGCCCTTGAGATTGTAATTTTTTGGGGCCCATACCAGGTTTTGAGACAACTCCATATCCACCAACTTTCATGGTCAGATTTGCTGAGTGTTTTTTCTTGAGTCACCCGCCTCTACGTCTCGTTTTGGTCACTGACTTGAGCGGCCCTGCCTTGCCGGTCAGGCATGTCAGAAGTCCCTTTACGAGGTTTGCAAGCCAACGTGCCGAAAGCCGGTGGTGATTTTGCTGAAGGACGGGCACTTCTGTGTCGGAAATTTGGACACAACATACACAAATTAACTTGCGGTCTGTGCTGGTGGTGTTACTATTGTTACTGTGGGAAAACCATGGTTGTGCCAACATTATGATATATATATATACATGTTTCTCCTACACATAAAATGGAAGTGAGGATTTTGGATCTAGCAAGCCATAGAGTTGGTCTTTGGTTGATATTCACATTCACTCTCCAATTATTTTGGCATCCAATTTTGCAGAATTTCACCCATACCTGCCATAGTGGTAGCATCAAGTACCACCACCGTTGCTCGTGGCGCAGGAGCCGCCCAACAGCTTCTCTGGATGGTTCGATGGGATTGGCGTGGTTCCGAAGGTGCGTTTAAGCCTGGGTCTGTGAAGGGACTTGCAGTTGCAGTCCCTTCACAAAACATGGTGCGTATAGACATAAGATGTATTAATATGTTATTATATATATACAGAGCATACAACACACACACATACATATATATATATGTATATATATATATATGTATATATATATGTATATATATATATCTAATATATGTCGCAGCTTGCTTGGTGGAAGCCTGGCCCTTTTTTTCTTCGATCTTTGCACCTCCGGGAACCGGACCACCAGGCATCTGCCCAAATGGAATTTGGCCTGAAGTCTCTACTGGCTGCAGGTGTGGAACAACCGATCGAAACCATGGATGGCTTTCGAAGATTTTAAAATTTGACATTTGTAAGACATATATGTAAGATATATGGAGAATCCATGGTATTTGCCATAGTTTCTGAACAAAACATGTTTGTTTGTTGCTTCTTGTCCTCGTCCCCTTTTGTGAACTGTGCTCTTGTTTGCACTGTAGTTGTGGAGAAAAGGTTTGGCGTAAATGATAATGCAACCATTCCACATCAACTCTTCAGCGCAGGTTTCGCCCCGCGTCTGTCTGGTGGTGTTGCTGGTGCGGCCGAGATTCTTCAAGAACATTGCCCTCGAAGCCTCGGTTCCTTGACACGCATAGGGTGAGATATGAAGGTGTTTCTCAGGAGTTGTCTTTTTCATTGATAAGATAATAGTGATAATAGTGATTATATTGGTTAGTAATAGATAGATTAGTAATAATGGCTAGTGATTACTAACCGATTCCCGCAATGTAGATAGATGATTCACTCCTGCAGGTTGCCAAGGCCGTGTTCAGCACTCACAGTCTGTGCAGTCATGAAGACTGCTATCAGCAAAGCCTGAAAGACTTAATGTTGAAGCCAAATCATAGATCACATGTATTTATATAATTGTATTTACATGCGTAGAAGCTGCACAGCATCAACCTTGCAGAGATGTTATGCGATCTGGCAAAAGTCAAGTCAGCACAGTAGCAGATACCTTGACATACCATTCCGCGCCTCCAGTTTTTTGGTTGCTTTTCCATTCGATTGTATTTCTGGCGTACCTTTTCACATGCTTTGAGGTGAGCTGCGAGCATTGCTCCGTGTCTTTCTGAAGAAAGGCCATGCGGATAGCTGAAGCTGGCGAGGGAAAAAAACGCTCAGGGTGTTGGTGATGAATATGTTTCGTTCTACCAGTTGACAAGTGGGCAAAAGAGGGCGACATTTGATGAATATCATATGAGATCAATCACATTTGCAACAAAGTCCATTGGTTGATAGGGATTCCCCTAATGGATTCTGATATTCCCCAATATATTGGTTAGTATCATCCGAAGTCATCATCAACCAGCAGTGGTTTTGAATCATGCGACAATGTGGGCTACGTAGGCGGGTCGCGCCTGCAATGGTCGAACGGTGTCAGGCCTTCTTCGCTACGATGGTGATGAGCTCGTGGTCTCGAAGTATCTGGAGAAAGAGCTCCGCGACCTTCAGGCGGGTGAACAGGACACTAATATCTGACGGGTTTGCCGAACTGCTGGGGTTGATGACTAAAGGAATATTATTCCTATTATTCCTATGATTCATAATGGTTAGTCCTATTATTCCTATTATGGCTTATTGGGGACTCTAAAAACCAATGCTGGACTATTTACAAAACCAACCATGGCTCATTCGAGATTGCGATGGCATATGGCCCCCTCACTGCCCAAACTGCATTGGAAGGTTTTAAAAAGTTTCATTCATGTCCGGCTTTTGGAGCCATACCCACATATATGATATTGTGACATATATATATATATACGCTGTTCTTGTTGCGTCTTTGGCCTATCTTGCTCTCTTTGTTTTGCTGCTGATGTCACTTGTTTCTCGCCATATGGCCGTCCTTTTGCACCTCAAAACCAGAGACGTTGACAGGTCACCCCTCGAACACCTGAGCGAAGGAAGGCTCGAATTTATTGCAACATCTGAGCGAAGGGAAGTGCAGCTTGAACAGATTTGAGCTGGCAATCATTAGTGTGACTCGAAACATGCTTTCATCCACTGTGTTTATCTTCGTTGATGTTCACCTTGCCTTTAGATCAGTGTTCTCTTCAGCGGCCATCAGTTCAGAAGCGGCCCTCACGAAGCAGGTTCGAATCTGTCTGGCAGTTTCCGGTCAGATCATGACAGGAATGCCAGTTTTGCAACCCAAATGGGACAACAGGAGCTTTCTGGAGACTCCAAGATGCCATGGCACCATGGCACTGGTGGGCACTGGTCGGTGGAGCCCTTCGACCGACTCAGTTTTTCAATGTGGGCAAGACACTGCCTGAAAATCCAGGCAGTGTCCAGTGGTGGTTGGTATGTTTGGTTGGTATGTTTGGTTGGTATGTTTGGTTGGTATGTCTATGATCAATCCGTCTTAATCCGATCAACTGGGAGTTTCTCACACCAACCGGTTAGTCTTGCCACTGGGTTCAGTTTCTGTAGTGGACCCTGGCGCAGTGATTCCCAGCTGCTGCTGGGGAGTGCAGCAGTACCACAGTCTTGCATCACATTTGCTTGACGCGAGAAGCTTTGCAGGTGTGGACGCAAAAAAGTCTGCCTTTGTCAACTGACTAGATCTTCTGCTGAGTTTTGATGGCAATAATCACTTTGTGCTAATCAATAAGCCACCTATATAGAGCCCAAAAGGAACAATTCCAGCAATTCATTAACCATCATTAGCTTAGAATTCATCACCATTCATCACCATTCATCACCATGAATATCATGAATCACCATTATTAACCATCATGAATGAAACCAGGGTCTCGGACTTTCTGGGACGTGTTTCAGGGGGAAAGCTGAGGTCCGAAGCTGCCTGCGCAGTGGTTTGCCCTATCACTGATCTTGCAGGCATACCTTGACCGGGTTCATGGCTTCAGTTGTCACCGGTACGGAAGGAACTTTGGTAGAAACTGGCCATTAGCTGTATCCACATGTCGCATTCTATCTCTTTCACTTTCCATCTCTCTCTCTATAATATACATATATAGAGCAAATCCCTCTTTATTGTATAATGTCTATATCTATGATGATTCATATATATATATATATATGTATACTTACATACACGGGGGTTAGAGCACCATCAAAGCTTCCGCGCCAGTCCAGCGGACTCCTCGCCCAGCTACTCTTTGGCTGGACCGTGATTTCAGGCGCGGCGCAGGGACGGGTCAACTCGATTTTTATGGATATATTATATTATATATATACACACAATATCAAGGGAATAACCAACAAGGTTGAAATGGGTATGGCGGGTATGGTAGACCTATGTATCAAGGCATTGGAGTACCATTTTGTGGATCCAGAGACTTGTCGACAGCATCGGAGATAGTCAGCCATGGAAATTGGTCCCAGAAACGTTGATCGCCATGGAAATTGGTCCCAGAACGTCATCATGGGCACGTTAGGGAACACATATGACTTAAACAACCAAGTGGGGAGATTCCAACAAACAGACTCGGGAATTCATGGGGACATCCTGTGGCGGAGAGCTGCTTGTTCTTCTTGTTGTGCAAGGCTGTATCCTATTCTTCTACTATGCAGGATGTGATTTTGCGTGTCATTTGTCGGGTCCTGAGGGAAATCAACTTGAACATGGGACTTCCCTTGGACATTAGGTGGAAGGCAGTGTAAGTACTGAAATATCTTCTGTAACTATAGTACAGCTGTACGTATCTTTAGAAAACTGTGCAGTCCACAAACTCTCCTTGGACTTTCTTGCCACCTTTGGTGTGTTGCTTCGATTACTTTTGATGACTGCACTTGCTGTGCCAGAACTAGGTTCTTCTACAGTGGAAGCGTCATTGTGCAGTCCTTGGCATTGGGGCACATGACAAATCACTTGTTGACATTTTTTAAAGGGGAGGTTCTTATCTTGGATCCTGAACAAAACCATTTTTTAGTATTTCCAGATGCAAACGCCTTCCACTTCCTTTTGGCCGGTGGGCCAAAGGTTTCTATTGTCCTTGCTGCAATGCACTGAGGAAAATAGCACCACAACTTTGCCCACGTTGGCGATGGCTGGCCTTGTGCTATTTTTCGTGCCTCGGGCGAGTCGTTTGTCTAGGTCAGCTGGGGAAACTGATTCAGTGGAGTCCAAAACCTCCTATCATGTGGTTTGGGGTTGCGTTCTAGACCAAAAGCCAGTGTTTCGGAAGTTGTCGTCAGTGTTTTGCAGGCCTCTTCTTCATGAGTTATTGAAATTGGTATAGTAAATTGTGAGGTTGCGCAAGCATGGTGCAAGCCACAAGGCAAGAACATTCATATGACATATAGCCGTAGGTTTTGGACCTGCTTCAACTGGTTGAGGGCTCCCGGAGTTGTTGATTTCCACACACCATTCCTGTGCGGGTTGACCCCTGGCTTCATCGGGGGTTGGAAACATCAATCAGACAACTTTACTCCTGAAGCTGACATCAGCATTTTGTCACCATTCTTCCCCAATGGTCATTGAGGAATTTATCCCCATTGAAAAATGGATCTATATCTATATTTAGTCACCCCCCCGCCCACGTCTATATCTGTATACATACATATCTTACACATGTATATACACAAAATGTGATACTCCAGGGGGGAGGAGGGAAGGATCTGCAAATACTGGGTCCCTGTGGATACCTGTGATACCCTCACGAAACACCCACGACATGCCGATTTCAGCGCTTCAAGGTGCTTAGCGGGAACGGCAACTCGTATGGCTATATGGATTTAGGGAGGTGTGCGAAACCGCTGGCGACAGAGGGCACTGTGTACTGGGGATCTTTCAGTTTCTCTTAGGAAGACGGTGTGAGAACTCGGGTAATTTTTCTTGCATGTTTGAGGACTTCAACTCGATCTTTTGTGCTGGAAAAGTAGCACTTGCATTCATATTTCCTTCTTGTTTGAAGAACTTCCAGACAAAAACTTGCTGGCAAAAACATTGAGCGAGACCAGCCACATAGGCTGGCTGGCTCCTGGAGAATCGATTTCTGCAAGCATGTTCCCCAACTGACCAGCATGTTCCCAGATGGGGCTGGGATTCAATGGATGTGCCTGAGCTTTCTGTAAGCGGCAGATGGGGCGGCCTCTTCTGGGTGTTGATGTCTGGCATTGCAGGCAGTGGCGGGGTGGGCTTTTCGCATGTTGCTACTAGCCGCTTCATGTTTCGGTGCGTACAGATATCATCAAAGCTTGTGGTGTAAAAGCAGTAGACTTCATGCCCATGCATTGGTTAAAAGAGGTGCAATTCAGAATCGGATCCCACCATTTTACTACAGAATCGGATTCATTCATGTTACTCTTATAGTTTTTTTTTCGCTCCACTTGTTCCAGTCCCATTTTTGGCTGTGTAATCCAACTGGCCAATCCTGGGCATCCTGGGCATCCTGGGCTGCCAAGTGGCAGGCCTTGCTTTCGGCCATTTCTTCCTCCAGTACCTGGGAGTCCCTGCCCTGGTGAAACCTGACCGATGACTCGATGACTCGATGACTCGACTGCAGAGGTGGTGAAAGGCGCTGAGCGAGCACCTTTGGTGTTTGGCACTGAGGAGCTGAGCATGCCAAAAAAGACATAAAAAGATTATTGTAGTCACAAGTCTCACCAAAAACAGATGGAACAAAGAAAAACGAACAAGTGAGACAAAATTCTGTTGGATGAATTGGCACTGAGTGGTTGAGCTACGATCCTTGTGATTTTCGATGGCGGACTTGTTCAAACATGACTTGGATCTGACTGCACTTGCTGAGGAAAGTACCAGGCCAGGGAACGATGCAGTTTCTGAGTCCACAGAGTCAAATGGGTTTGTCTGAAAATAGGGTATATTCCCAATCATAGCCATTTAATAGGGATAATGATCATTAACCATTGGGTTTAGGGGTACACTATTTTCAGACACACCCAAATGTATGTTTTCATCTAGGATAAAAGAGTGGCAATGATTTCCATCTGGACTTTGAGGACAAACCTGCACTAGGTCTGTCAGCATGAAAACCTGTGTTTTCCTGCTGGGTTTAGGAGCTGACTCCGCTCAAAAAGCCGTACCCTGAGATCATGAAGCAGCAGCTAGCCAGCAGTAAAACTGTCTTGGTAAGAACGGTAAGAACAGGGAACCAAGCTGCTTATCTGAGAAGTAAGACAGAAATTGGACTGCTACTTCCATTATCTCCAAGCTCACAACAAGCAGCTATGTTTCCTCAGCGAGAATATGTTAAAGATGACCCGAACTTGGTGCCAAAGCTCACGGCTCACAGCGTGCTTGGTGCAAAAATGGAGATCCATGCCCGCAGAGACTGCCTCTCTCGGATTGGCATGATACCGATATGATCCGTGCCATTGTCAATGCTTGGGTGGATTGATCATATTGGGAGGATGGTTGACTGATCCATCAATGGGGATTTAGAAACCCATTCGAAGGATTCCCATTGTGTGATGGATGACCATAAACATTCATCCCAGCTCCCCGATGGCACATGGGTCTGCAACTTTGACGCGCCCTGCGGATTGAATCACCTGGAGGATTTTGACCAAGCTGGACATGTCCAAGATGAAGACAAAAACCACTGGAGACAGTGCTGCTAGAACACCCGCTTTAAACACATGACGCATATGACTCATTATATATATATATGAATGATGATGAATGATGATAAACGTATTCTAAGATCAGACTTTGCAGATTGGCAACGAACATCATGGAGCAAGGGTTGTGTGAAACAGTGTTGATCAGAAAGCGCAATAGTAGCGGAAGCAACGGAGCCCCAACGAGAACTCGTGCAATACTTCCTACTCCACATCGGACGCAGACTTTGTGTAGCACATACGCGCTTGAGCAATGAAGGTGGTCCCTCATCTGCACTGCAGGGGCTTCTGGATCTCATTCAAATGAGCCGAATACTTTGCTTGTTTTTTTGCCAGGAATGGTTGAACGGAAAATCTGCAGGACACCTCATTTTGGATCTAAAAAGACCATGGCTTTCCTGTAGATTTTCCCTTTTTCATCAACCCAGTGACTGTCATTTCTGTCATTTTTGTGACGCTTAGCTAATCGCTTACCGCGAATTCGCTGAGACACCTTGCACCGATCCGGGGCCCAACTTCAAGGGTCAGACTTTGGTTCTTCCGGGTGCAGGAGGACCGCTTTTGGTGACCTTAGGGTGACCTTGGTGCAGGGTTTTCCCATGAGAAAAAAAACCATGGTGGATCAGTTGATCCATGGTTGATATTGATGAAAGATGATGAAAGATGATGGTTTAGCACTTCTTGATGATTGGTGAACGATGGTGAACGGCTTCAGATTGAAAATTTAATCGAGGGATTGATCAGATGCCATGTGCTCAAAGTCATTTGCGTTTCAACGGCAGAAGCCGCACGTGTCCTGGAGGCATTGCGAATCTTGGGGAGCTTTCTGCAGATGCGCTTATCGCAACTTATGGGCTCCAGAGGGTGGCTATTGTATCTGAGTCCAGCTTAGATTAGCTGTGGCTAAGATCAGGTTGTTTGGGAACCTTTGCAACAGGGGCCACAGGCGGTGGCTGTTATTATACTGCGCAATATATCGGATTGGGGTTTTGAACACTGCTATTGTGGGGTCTGGAGGTTTTTGGCGACACTACAGGGGATGGTCATGGCAACCCAGGTAGAGAACAAGCACCTTTTGCCGGTGGCAATGGTCAATGCCTTTAGCGCCGAGTCTCCGGCAGTCACCACTGCAGCAGAGATCTACCAGGACCTCCATGACCCGCCGCCATTGCACACCTTATGAGATGACGTCACTGCAAGAGATGGTTTCTAAGGGAAGTCAGCTCCGTATGACCGAGCTTTTCGGGTGATTTTTTGATGAGATTTATGCAGATGTTTGATATTCTATTCTGGACATATTTCATTACTTCCAGGGGTCAGTTAAACGCCCCACTGGAATGAAGCCAGAACCATGCATGGCTCAAAATTCAAGCCTATTCAAATCCACAGGTTCTGGCCCTTTTTTGAATGCTAATCATCCCATGCTTGATGCAGCAAACTTTGGGTGGCACCCGTTCCTTCGGTTACATCTCCAATTTTGGCTGCTTAAATCCCCATTTAGATGCTCCCATCCTTGCATTCCATTCCAGAATTACCCCAGAATAGTTATTGGTCGTATCCCATTGTATCCCATTATTGTTTGCTAATATCCCTGCAACACAAATCCCCATTGGCTATCCACATTACATCCCATCATATCTCGATTATCTTCCAAAGATAGGCCCTACATTACTCTTTGTGAATCATATATCCGATATCACCAATATGGATCAATATGGCTGGATCAATGTCGCATCCATGTTATATCCCCTATCATGTATCATTAATTCCTATTATATCCACCATTTTTCGCTCTCCGTTTCATCCATTTCATCTCCAGGCCCCCTGTGGATCTTCGTCGCTCACCGTGCTGCAACTGCGCTCGGGTGCGGTGGAAGGACGGCGCTGGGCCTTCGCCAAGGAGCTGTTGCGATGGGCCAAAGACGTAGGAGCTGGGAGCTCAACGGAGAGATTCACCAAACCCAAACTGCATGGGATGAAAACACGAACGAAAAACGGCAAAAACGGGGGAATTCAGCACGATCTGGAACCGAGTGGTGAAGGGTACCCTCTGGTAAACTAACATAACCATGGAAAATCACCATTTTTAATGGGAAAATCCACTATTTCTATGGTCATTTTCAATAGCTATTTTGACATAACCAGAGGGGCGTTGAATTCCTTTCCAGGGCCCAAGTTTCTCCATGGAATGATGTCTCACTGAATGATACCAACCTAAGACGTTGCGGTACATCGCCACCATTCGGGTGACCCAACCATTTATGGGTAATTTGACATCATCCCAAATAGGGGTATGCAGAAAAAACATGCAGCTAAAATATGAAATTATTAGGTTTAAGCCTACCTCATGACTCAAACAATGATACCCGTGGAATTACAAGATATATCATATATCGTCATAAGAAAACCTGACAAACGATGGAAGCACATGTTCAGTGTTTGCACACTTGGATATATATTTGGCACGTCCTAGATCTCCTGACTGTTCCGCCGTAGGTTGCAACCGTCTTGGTGCTAGCATCCTGCTCCGCCCATGCCGCTCAATAGCAGCTGTGACAGTCTCCATCGACAAGTCTCGGCGATCTTTCAAGATACAAGAAGGACAGGAAGAAGAGACGCACACTTTGCTTGTAGCCAGCGTCAGGAAAATCACTATTCGGAAGCTGATTTCAGTCCGCAACTACTTCAACTTGTCCAAAGATGGCTGAAATTTCATCAGCTATGGGTAAAATCCCACCATGTTTGGATTAGCAAAATCAGCTTATAGAATTCTGAGGTGAAGGGCGATGCCGACCTCTCTGAAGCATCACCCTTACGGGGACTGGCAGCTGGGGGCCGTCTCCCAGAGCTCTTGCCTTTGGGGCACGGCCTGAGCCTCTCGACATGGGCTGTGGGTAAAACAATGCCAGAAACCATGGGAATGGTAACCATAGCACCTATAAAGATGGTGACTGGGGAATGGTAAACATGGCATGGTTTTTACCCACATGAATTGGATTTGAATGGGATTTCACCAGCTATACGCGCAAACCCCCCAGTTCGCCCACACAACTTCGATTTGGGATTTTGAGGGAATATCAATTATGATAAATTCCGACCCCCAGAAAAAACTTTACATTCAATTGCGAGATCAACAAGGGTATTAGGAATATAAATTCCCACCGCCGTTAAACTTTACATTCATTGAAGATCTTCAATAAGGGTTTAATTCTCCCACCCGCTTCAAACTTCTACACTCATTGAAGATCTTCAATAAGGGTTTAATTCTCCATCCCCCGTTAAACTTCTACATTCATTGAAGATCTTCAAGGGTTTAATTCTCCCACCCCCTTCAAACTTCTACATTCATTGAAGATCTTCAATAAGGGTTTAATTTTCCCACCCCCTTCAAGCTTCTACATTCATTGAAGATCTTCAATAAGGGTTTAATTCTCCAACCCCCGTTAAACTTCTACATTCATTGAATATCTTCAATAAGGGTTTAATTCTCCAACCCCCGTTAAACTTCTACATTCATTGAATATCTTCAATAAGGGTTTAATTTTCCCACCCCCGTTAAACTTCTACATTCATTGAAGATCTTCAATAAGGGTTTGATGATGATGATGACGATGATGATGACGATGATGACGACGACGACGATGATGATGATGATGATGTTGTTCATGTTGTTCATGTTGTTGTTGTTGTTGTTGTTGTTGTTGTTGTTGTTGTTGTTGTTGTTGTTGTTGTTGTTGTTGTTGTTGTTGTTGTTGTTGTTGTTGTAACATTCAACGCGCAGGTAGCTAAGCTGTGCGTTGCAACATGAAAGCCATGATCATGGACATGTGCATTTTTTTCCCACAAAACACAGTGTTTTTTGATGTTCGGACATGTCGTCGGCGTCGGCGCGGGCAAACTGAGGGGTTTGACCGTAACCATACCACCTATAAAGATGGTGACTGGGGAATGGTAAACATGGCATTGTTTTTACCCACATTAATTGGATTTGAATGGGATTTCATCAACTATGGGGGCTTTAGCTATTTAGTCATCTTAAATATGGGGATATGTATACCTCATCAATCATGGTTGGTGAACTTGTTTTACTCACATTAATGTTAACCCAGGGACAACGTACCCATTTCACGATTTCAGTCGAGGCAGGTTCACCCATCTCCAAGCGAATGCCAGCTTCAGTGCGAACGCATTGCAAAACCTAATCTTTTTTAAGGCCATAAAGAATGAGGGATCCATTCCAATGAACACACCCATATTCCCCATATATTGATGGTGATAGATATATATATACACATAAATATGGGTGTCCTAAAATGGGGGACCCCTTAATCATCCAAGTCAATAGACCATGACTTAGTATTGAAACGCATGATTTTGGGTACACATTTTAAGAATCCCCAAATCCCGCTCCCGATTACCTCTCCATGGTGGGTACCCGCCCACCACAAGGTGACGCAGAGTTGGCTGATGGCCCTGGCACCGCCAGTGCAGCACGACACCTGCTGCGTGGCAGCGGTCTGGCCCGGCCGCTCTTGGAGGTGTGGAAAGTGCGTCATAGGAACATTCAAAGTTCAAGGGAAGAACAATCAGGAAACCATGGTTTTCACATGAATTCCAGGGGGTTTCCTGCACATTTTCCCTTCAACCAATTCCGAGAAACATGATCAATATGATCAGCATGGTTATGTCATTCCTGGGTGTAAGTTTTTTTGGTCTGAAATAGGGTACCCAAAAATTGGTCCATCCACTGGTTGACCGGTTAACCATCATTTTCCCCTTGTCCCCACTGGCCATCATTGGCGGCCCTGTTTTCCGACAACCCCATGTGGTTCCCAGGTGGCAGCTGAACCTGGATCCCCCAGCTTTGCGCCCCCTTCCCGGGTGGCACCCAGTCCGAAGCTTAGGAGACAACGGGATGATATTGGGATAATCATGTGATAGTGGTAGATGTAACCAACAATACGGGGTTTTGGGTAGTCACCTCCATTTCTTTGGGCATGTTGGACATGTCCTACTTTCAATGGACTGGGAAACTCAGGAAGATATTTCTAGGAAACTCGGGAAACCATTTTTTTCCCATAAAATATGGGAGTTTTCTGCAGCTCCCTTCAACCAGTCGTTTCCTTCCATGGCTGCGCTGGCCGAAGCAAGGCGTTTGCTGCATTTGCAGCTTCACCAATGAGGCCCACCACGGGCACATTCTCATTGCAATGATCGTTGCTGATAGGGTTTGCACAGTTCTATAGAATCATATTATAAATTATAAATATATACAATACCTGTAAAATATCTGTCTATCTATCTATCTATCTATCTATCTTTATGTCTGGAATTTGCCAACCACTAGCTGCTGGATTTTCTGACTGGTTTTTGTCTTGGAGACCTTGGACTGGCGGCTCCCTATGCAATTGGTGGATGCGGCTGCTGACTGTGGGGGACTCAGAGGAGCAGAGGAGCTTGGATGACTTTGGATCCTCAAGTACTAGACACACATATGTATGTGTATATTTATATATATATATATATATATTATATATTATATATATAAATATGCACTTATTTTCAAAGTCAAGATTTGATTGAAGGATTTCTGGACAGAGTTCTCAGCTGGACGCAGACCTGTCGCTGCCGAAAAACCCCTTGGTGCGGCCACCATCATGGCTTCTGGCACAGCAGGCGACTGTATGGGTGTCCTTTTCCGTTGATGAAGAAAGAGGGGCCGCCCCGGCTGTTGTGAATGATGATCAATGGTATACCAGTCACCAGCCCCGCAACATTTTCTAAAACAGGAGCGGGGCGGCTTCTTTGACGTTCCTTGCTCTATCGTTTCCAGATCTGTTAGACCCGAGCAGGGTCGTGAGCAAATGTGCAGGCGCAGATGGCTCCTCCTCCAGAGAATCTGCAACTCTGGTGACAAGCTGACAGGCTGACGAGTGACCAGAAAAGCTGCGCCTTTCCTGTAGCTGTTGGTCTTGGCGACTTGCACCACTTTTCTCAGCGTGATGAAAGGATGCCTATCAAACTTCAAACTCTGGACGCAAAATGAAGCTCAAAACCTTGCCCTCCGTATAAGTGGTTTTTGCTGGTGATGTGGTAATAGGTCAACACCCACGACATGATACATCCAAACATGTGTATAAGTACATTCGCATGCAACACATACTATGCAAATCTATTTACCGATCTATTTGCGTATTTGTTTATTTATCTATTTATTCATTTGTGTACTTGTGTATTTATTTTGCGACGAACATCCATCTGCCAACTATTTTAATGTTCACAAGGGTATCCAGAGCCTTTGATCCCACGGCACCTCATATTGTTGGTTATATTCCATTGATTGTATCCCATTCTATCTCATCATATTCCATCAAACACCCCCATTTTGCTTGGTTAATATCCCATCAAGATTCGATATTAGATCATATGTCGATTTTAACTTTTGATGGTTGAATAAATCTCCATTTTGTTTCCATCGCCAATTGATCCCATCACCAAATTGTTGTGGACAATTTCCATTAAGAAGAATACCCTCTAGGCCATTTGTAGATGATCAACATGATGATTTACCAGACTAAAGATTTTTTTCCAGTTCGCAACGGCACAAATAAGCCATATTTCAATTTTGACTTTCATGGTTGAACAATTGAATAGCCATTTTAATATACCATCGCCACATGGTTGCTTCGTATCCATTCTGAATAACATAGACAATTTCTATCCAAAACTCCTCTCCCTTCAGCTTTCGATGCCATGGCATGGCCAAAGAACTGCTTACGGTGCGCCTGGTGCTAGATGCATCGCCTGCGAGCGTGGCAGCCGCTTTGGACAAGGCGTCGAACTTTGTGCGTAAAAGGTGGGGATAAATGATAGTTATAATCAGGATATGTGCAAATATAAATATATATATATATGTATATGTATACATACAAACATGACTATAGTGGTAATACGATGGTGTAAACCCTTGTAAATTATGGAAATGATTACAATGGGGATATCATGGGGATATCATGGGGAAGCCGGGGAAGCCATAGTTTTAACATAAACCATTTTTCCTGGACATCGAGGAGACGAATTGGGAAACTAAGCCACTCCGGCATCCCCCACCGTCCGGTGTGTCGTCAGTTTCCCTATGACACAACTGCAAATTTCGTTGGTATTCTTTGGGAAAACGAGCAATCCTGGAGGCATGGCCAGGCATGGCCAGGCATGAGATTGCACAACTTCTAGGTTCGACTTGTAGGGATCCAAAAAGAGACGTCGATGTTTCCGCGTATGGCTTGGTGTGAAAATAGGGCGCCCCCCCCCACTGGTTAGTCATTCCCTACAAAAAAACATGGCCATTTTGAGAGACATGGCCATACCCTCTGGTAATTTAACGTAGCTATGGTATAGATGGCATATTTAGTTTCTGTAGATGATTTACCTCTTAAAAAATGGTGATTTTCCATACCAATGGCACAAGTTACCAGAGGGTACCTTTACGGAAAAACCACCATGGTGACCTCAACCAGGCACTTCTGCATGGAGAGCCCGGCTTGCTGAAGCAGGCGCAGGCGCGATTTGATGACTTTTGAAGTCATAGGAGCATGATTATATATGTGGGTATGGGTCAATACCTATAGATACATTTTTAGTGGGATGAACATCCATTTACCAGCTATTTTGGGGTTCACTAGGTACCAGGGTTTTGACCCATCCCCATGTCAGTTTCTACATGCGGCAGGAGGCAGTGAAGAAACAAGACATAGCATTGGTGGAGGGGCAGAATGGGGTTCACTCTTCAGCTTTGGACTGAGTCGAAGAGATGTGGCCATTGATGGTATGGTGGCCTGCTGGAATTTACATCCCTTCAGTAGACACACAAAACCATGACTTGCGATGTTGTGCCTCATCATTTTCTTGGCCCAAGAGTCTACACACCTATTGCTTGCATGTTCGTTTTCTTGCAGATTCTTCAGTGTCTGACACTGCTAAAACTCATTGTATCTCTTGTCTCACTGGGGCCAAAAATTGTGCGAGGCAGGCTTACCTTTGCCAGATCCCATTGCGGTGGAATGGCACGAATTCATCAGGCGCAAAGCTGCAGTGTCCCACCACTTCCTTGACTTTGGGCGACCGCAAGGTTGAACTGGCACAGAATCAATAAACCATGGTTTATTTATGGCGGTACCCTCCACATAGTGACAAATAATACTCCACTTAATCAATTGGTACCCCCCAATGAAACAGCCAAGGGGTTTATTAATCCAGGATTGACATGAATGATATCGAAGAATTTGCAGAGGTCGATTTTGAAATGGGCTCTGCAATGTCTCCCAGGCAGGATTGCAAATTCTCCCTGGAACACCTCCAATCTGGAGCATTGTTCCTTCAGCCGCGCTCAGGATTTCCACCAAGAAATTCCCAGCTTTAACAAAGTTCTGAGGCAATCTTCCTGTCAAGCATGTTTCAGGAAGGTTTCAGTAGGGGAGAAAACGCTGATGGATCTGATACAATCTTAGCCAGTTTGCATGAGAAGATACTGGAAATATATGACTTTTCTATATATATAATATTATATATATATAATATAATATATATATATACATATAATTTGTGCAGCCTCATGTCCGGCGTCCAAGGTGGGTCGAAAGCTTTTCCTGCTCTCTTGGCTTACGACCCCTCACGCAGGATGACACGCAACTTGGACCGACTGGACTCTTGATGGCTACCAGTGGAAGCTTATGGAGTGATCATTTACCAATTGTCCTTTATTGTCCTTTACCAGTTCCGTTTCCAACCTGACACCAACTTGGGGATGGGTCAATACACTGTCCCGGATTTTAGGTGCTTAAAAACATCAATCCCAGCGATTCTTGGGGCTCCCAGGACATCACCTTTGCCGCTTCGCCACTTCGATGACTCTGCCTTTGAAGTGTTTCTGGTGGAGAGGTCACGACATGTCGTTGTGTTGGATAAAAAAAGTCATCACCACTCTGGCCGGCAGGCTTTCCTCACATGTACGTGTGTTGGGCCGTTGGACCTCAAGCTTCAAGGATGACTCAGCGCATGGCTTCTTTGTTAGAGTCGTGACTTGACCTGAAGCAGGAAAATTGCAGATCGATTCGAGTAGCCGAGTAGCCTCTGGTAATTTGTGCCGTTGGTATGCAAACATCACCATTTTTTAATAGCTAAATCATAGATCTAAACTGGAGCCGATGGCTTTCAGAAAGCACCGAACTGGAGCCGATGCTGGGAGCGAGCTTCAGCCCGAGGACCTTGGGCCCAAGGAGGCGGAAGCCGCCGGAGTGCCAACATATCCTCTCAGCCAGATCTGTGAGGCAAGGTTTGCTTGAAAGAATGGTGCTGAGAATGTAAGTGCACAGTAAAAATGGTCCAACAAAAAAATGGCTAAGAACCGTTTTTTTGTCCTAAATTGTGATGATGCCAATCATAGGATTCTGAGTCGCTGCCTTGAAGTTTTGCTTGTTGGTCTCTTCCTCTGTTTCCTCCTGGAATGTCAATCAGGTGAAGCGGACTTCAAATGGATCCGAACTGACAAGGCACGAATTGCTTTGCGTTAGATTTTGGTTCTTTTTTGTCAAATAGATATAAGGTGAAAACAGGATTTGTTTGTACAGTATCCCAGAAAAATCGACAAACCATGATCAAACATATGCCAAGCGCCGAAGCATTCTTTTGAGTTGCGTTTGTCTGCGACTGAATGCCTGGCAAGAGAAAAAACATAATCAAACATTTAACCATGTATCAGACAATTCTAGCATTGAGGGTAAGATAGGAGCTACAATCGCATATGTGCTGGATTCTATAGCCATACTACGCGATGGTCATCAATCAATTCTCATAGGAAGTTATATACCCATTGTATATTATCATCATGATATTCTCATTGTATATACCCATACCCATAGGAAGTTATATACCCATATATATATATCCATTATATACCCGTTGGTTTTCCTAATCGCCATTGAGTGGGTTGGTTGGTTCAGACCCATAGGCGATTCCTGTGCGATGAATCCTTGGAGCACACACGGCACGTGGACATCAACGACCCTGGAGTGAAAAGCTTGAGGACGGTGAATCCATGGAAATTGACGGGCAATAAGGGTAGTTGAATATTTTCAGCTGCCACAACATTGATATCTATATGTATATATATGTATATGTATATGTATATGTATATGTATATGTATACTTATACTTGCATACATGTATATATGTATGCATTATATGTGGTACTTTTATAGTTATATCTGAATTTAGATCTATAACCCGAAAAATTAGGCAACAAAGAATGTGGAGTTTTGATGGCTTCGCGATGGAGTGTTTCTTCAGCTTCCAAAGCTGGTAACCTTTTTTTGGCTGCAAGGCTTCATGCCTTCATGCTGGAAATGGAGGCTCGCGTTTCCAAGCAGCACGATTCGTTGCGCTTTCATGAAGACTGTCAAGGCGGGATGTTAACCCTATTCACGATGGGGATTCAAAGATTTTATATAAGTCTATAGCCCGTAAGCTGTTTATCTTGGGGGTATCATTCTAGTACTACATCCTCACAAATTTGGGAACTGCACCATTTTTGTCCAGGGTTCACACTGCAGATGCAATTCAGTGGCTTGGATATTTCTTTTGAGTTGGGTTGGTCCCAAAATGAGGAACAGTTGAAAATGACCATTTTCTGGCTTTTCTGTCGTGAATTTTCCCCCGAATTTTCATCTGCCAGATGCTGAGGCTTGGGCATCTTGCCATGGCTTTCCTCTGGTGGAAATTTGGCGCGGCCTCCGAGAGGACTATTCTTGGGCTTTGAAAGGCCGGTGAGAAAAAGCCATTAAATCAACCCATTAAAACAACCACCTGACATCCACTGAAGAGCATATCGCATCACTCTGTGACTGGTAGGTGCCGAGAATTCTGTGGCGGCATATCGCTTCGGATCTGGACATGCTGGCCCAGCGATGCGAGAGGTCTGGCCTCTCTATGATACAGGCGCGAAACGCGCAACGGTGAGCTGAAAATGCGCCTTTCTTTCGTTTGCCAAGAATGGTGATGTTGTTTGGAATGGGTAGACTTAAATGTCACAAGGTCCTGTACCCGAAATCCGGTATATCATCTTATTTTCCCCATTCATATTGCCATTTACATGGGGGTTATACCCCAGTTTTGGACAAACATATGATACCCCACATGGTTGATTTTATATGATTTTATCCCATTATATCAAATTATTCTATCCCATTATATCCCATAAATTCCCATAATAACTTCCCATTAGATTCCAATGTTGGCTGGTAAAGTGGGTATTTCTCCAGCCAGACTCTCCAGTACCGCACGGTGAGGTCGTGCTCAAAGCCTGTCTGAGGGCCTTGCTGACACGCTCCGGTCAGTGCTGCAAGCAGCAGGTGCGGAGCGAGCCCTGCTGCAAGGCGCATTGCAAGAAGGTCTCTGGGATTGCAAGATGTCCAGGCAACAACACTAGGGAATCAGGAGGTTATATACATATATATATATAATATATATATAATATATATATAATATATATATAATATATATATATAATATATATAATATATATATATGTACATGATTCGGGACACGTACCCTCATAAACCATGAGGTGTATGTACCTTGTTTTGGCTCAAGTAAAATAGGAGTGTTGCAATTTTCTGATCATGGTAGCGGAGCGCTCGGTTAAGCTCCAGTAGATGCAAAACCTTTGGATCCCCATCGAAACCCTTGGTGACAGAGTGGTAAGGTTGTGGTACCGGTTGGTTAACAGGTTGTTCAGGATCCGCAGGTTGCAGAGGATCTTCGGCCACTTAGGGCAGCACCTACAGGACTTGGTGCGGACTTCGGAGTTCAGGCGACGGCTGCTGAACTCTCGGTTGTCTCGACCGGGAGTTGCATACGCTGAGCCGGAATTGCCTGAGGAGCCGTGATGGCGACCATGGAGGAGATCGTGGCGCAGATCCAGACGTTGCGGCAGGAGCTGCAGGAGAGCCGAAGGAGAGAAGAGGACCTGAATACCAGACTCCAGGCAGTGCAAGCTTCAGGAGCGGTTCAGGCAACTTTGGAGGAGATGGTGAACACGCAGAAGGCCATCTTGGAAGCATCTAAGAAGTCTGACAGGAAATTGACTTTGGTAGACAACCGCGGGTTGGCAAAACCAAACAACTATGATGGAAGTGCGGATTTCTTGCAATGGAAGATCCGACTTGAAGCGTTTGTGGAGTCAGTCCATGACGACTTTGGGAAAGCTATGGCTTGGGCGGAAGATGAGACCGACCCAATCAGCACCTCTTCAATGTCAGCCGAGTTTGGAGACGTCAATCCTGCACAGGAGACAATTCCAGACTTGGAAGCCAAGGATGCGCAGCTTTACGCAGTCCTTCAGACGCTCTGCGAGAAGGAAGCGTTCACGCTGGTTAGAAGCTCAGGGAAAGGAAAGGGCTTAGAGGCTTGGAGGAGACTTTGCAAGAGGTATGACCCGTCGACAGGAGGACGCCGACGAGCGTTGCTCCGTAGCGTGCTCAGTCCTAACCGTTGTGGCAAGGTGGAAGAGTTGAGCGCAGCGGTCGAAATCTGGGAAGACCAGGTTAGACAATACGAGAATCGACGCAAAACTGATGGCACCAGGCCAACGTTGGATGAAGACATAAAGATATCGATCTTAGAGTCGATTTGTCCGGTTGAGGTTGAAAGGCATCTTCAACTTAATCAGGCACGATTTGCCGATTACCAGGAGGTACGCAAAGAATTGTCGACCTACTTGGAAACGAGGATCGGGCTGAAACTCAAGGCAGGTTCATACGTTGACACCGGAGGAGTCCAGCCGATGGACATTGGAGCCTTCGGTAACGACAAAGCCAAGAAGGTTTGTCACAACTGCGGAAAGCCAGGTCACTTCAAGTCCGACTGCTGGGCACCAGGTGGAGGAAAAGCTTCTTCGCAGGGAAAGTCTGGTAAGCAAGGAAAAGGGCAGAAAGGCGGTCAGCAGTCCAACTCAGGTGGAAAGAAAGGATCTCCAAAGGGATCGAAAGGAGGAAGCAAAGGAGGTGGAAAGACCACCAAAGGCAAAGACAAAGGCAAAGGAAAGAACAACAAAGGTAAAGGAAAAGCTATGGGCAATGTTGAGGCTGAGAAGGAACCAGAAGCTGAGGAGCAGGCCGGGTCTTGGGATGCCAGTGGATGGGAAGGTCATGATGAATCCGGTTGGAACAACTGGACTGAAGGCGGTCAGGGCTCAAGCCTGGAGGGTAATTACCTTTCTCTAGGCGCGTTGCACCGTCCCGCCATGGTGACCAAGCGGCATAGCGATTCCGAGAGCCGCTCGGGACTTGCTGACAGCTTGGTTGCAGCACTAAGGAACCTCCCACGTGGCACAGATGCCGGGTTGCGAGACTCTGGAACTGGTTCTTCCGGAGATCGCTCGGTCGACATGATGATGAGGTTGATCGACGAGAACTACAGGCTGCGTGACCAACTGAGGGCCCAAGGTGACCAAGAGCAGAGAAGCTCAGAACGTGACAGGAGCCGTCGAAGACGTTCCTCACCCCAAAGGGAACCAGAGCCCGAAGAAAGATCCCGTGATAGGTCAAGGCGCAAGCGGCATGACTCAAGGCCGAAGCGCGATCGTGATGATGACCGACATGGGAGACGCAGGGCCAGAAGTGAAAGCAGCGGCAGGAACAGGGAGTTGGTTGACAGAACGGCCACTCCGAAGAATGCCGCAAGGCGCAAGAGCGAGACTCCAGCGGCCAGTGACAGAACAGTCAGCCGAACCCCAAGGGGTAGCGTTGGCGACTACTTGAAGAGTAAGGCCGAAGCCAGAAGGGCTGGTGAGGCAAGATCTCCGGCCGCTTCGGTTGGAGACTTGCCGCCCGGCATGAGGACACCCAGAAGTCCTCCCGGGCCACCTCCGCACAAGCGGAAGAAGCTCGAGATCAAGCCAGAGAAGAAGAACGAGGTCGAGCCGGAGGAGCGCACCGACGCCAAGAACACGAAGCCTAAAAGTGAAGGGGCGCCAGCTATCAAGGCGAAGCCAAAGCCCAAGACGAACTCAGGGCTCACCAGCGGTTCACTCTCGGTGCTTCGTGGCACGCTTGCCACGCAGCTGATGCTGGATGCCGAGAAGACCAATGACCCCGAGTTGAAGAGGGAACTTGAGCGCCAGAAGAACGAGCTGCAGCAGCGTGCACCAAGAAGGTCAGTGGCGATCACGGCGGACAACCTCAATGACCAGTCATTCCATGATTCCAGGTACTATGCGGATGTCGCATCTGGCAAGGCGCACCACATCGCTTGGAAGAACGAGAAAGGCCGCCGTAGAGCCATCTTAGACCGTAAAGATGGTGTCATTGACCGCGCCAGGGAGCGTATGCGCCTGGATGCGGAATGGCATGAAGAGCACGCTCAGCTGAACTCAGGTTCCAAGAAGCAAGATGTGGAAGGTCTTAAGGCCGATGTGGAGACCGAGATCATCGACGAGAGGGAGCGCGACAAGGATAAGCCCCTGGAACCTCAGAAGGAAGCTGTGGCTTTGAGCCGCCGGGAGAAGGAATCCTTCCGGCAGTTTCCCGAGGACGAGCAAGAGACCTTGGAGAAGCCCACAAAGAGGAAGGAACAAGGGCCGAGAATCAGAGGGCCCGACTACTACCGTCGGAAGAATGCCGCCCGACGTGAAAGACAGAAGGCCGAGAAGGCCGAGCAACGAGCAAAGGAGAAGGAAGGTCGAGACCGTGACCGACGACACGGATGGGATCCGGAAGAAGATGAAGACGATGGTGGTGGTGACACTGAGAGTAACAGCAACTACCTCAGTTCGCTCTTGGCTCCTCTGGGTGGATCGCCTGGAGAGCCACACGTGGTGGAAGAGCGCGATGGATGGAGGAAGATTGAAGTGAATCTGGACACGGGAGCCGCCGCGACGGCGATCCAGACAGACTTGAACCTGGATGGACATGCCAGGACCCCACCGCAGGACGTCAACTACAAGACGGCGTCAGCAGAGTGCCTTGCTGACGAAGGTGGTGTAGTGCTCAAGGGCACAGATGTCTACGGAAGTGCCAAGGTGTTGGAAGGGCGTGTGACAGGAGTCCACCGCACTTTGGCGTCAGGCGCAAAGGTTGCGCGACATCACTATATGGCGCTGGGAGCACATGGAGGTCAACTCATTCCCAGGAACTCCCAGGCTGGAAAGGAATATGCAGCCTTCATGGAGAAGCTGCACAAGAAGCACAATTGCATGACACCTGTCAAGGTCCGCAATGGGATCTACTTGATGGACTTTTGGATCGCACCGGGCACCTCGGAAGGCTCTTTTCACGGGCCTCCCGAACGGGTGTAAGTCCGGAGCTGCAGCCACTGGACGATGAAGGTGCTCCAGCCGCATCGGCAGGAGACCTTGGTGGCGATGAGGCCGCAGAAGACGGCCACCAGTCTTCAGAAGAGATTGGAGAAGAACAGAGGCAGGTGATCGTGAAGCGGTCCCCGGCAGATCCTACCGACCGAGAAATACAGGAGCACCGTGCTGCTGGGCACGTTGTTCACCGAAGCTGGTGTCTTCACTGCCAAAGGGCTCGGGTAACGGGCCAACGCCACAGAAGCGGTGACCCAGCTCGGGATGAGGATGGTAGGATGCCGTATGTTTCACTAGATTACTTTTACTTGAATTCAGGGCAGGAAAAGAGTGACGCTGATGGCATTTTGCCTTGCTTGGTTGTGAAGTGTCACAAAACTGGGCGCTATTGGGCAAATGTAGTTCCATCAAAGGGTGCAGAATTGTTCGCAGTTGAATGGTTGAAGTCTTGCCTCAATGAAACAGGTTTCAAAGAACTATGCCTGAAGAGCGACAACGAGCCGGCGATCATGGCTTTGAAGAATAAAGTGAAGGAGGAAAGCAGGTTAAAGATTCATCTTGCTGAGGCGCCGGTGGAGGATCACCAGGCGAACGGCTTCATTGAGGTCGCAGTAAGAGAAGTGAAAAGACAGGTCAGGGCGATGCTGTCTGACTTTCAGGAAAGGCTTGGGTTCGAGGTGGAACCGAGTCACCCATGTATGATGTGGATGCCACGCCATGCAGCCTACCTCCTCACCAGGTTCCGGATTGGACCGGATGGAAAGACACCGTATGAACGGACCTTCGGAAGAAGCTGGAGGATACCGTTGGTAAGTTTTGGGGAGCATATCTTGTTCAGGCCAAGACCCCCAAGAGACGGACGACGTCATGACCTCGCACCAAGAGTGTCCATGGGAATGTTCGTGGGCACAGGACTGCGCAATAACGACATCTTCGTCATGACGGCAAGAGGAATTGTCAAAGGAAATACAATCACTCGAAGACCTCCTGAGGACCAGTTCAAGTACGAGAATTGGAGTGAACTCCGGGGTGTTCCTTGGAGACTCCAATCGCGTGAGGCTGGCGAGGTTCGAGTTGACTTGCCAGTGGTTGTCGGGCCGTTGAGCCGACCACCAGCTGAAGAAGTGATTCCACGGAATCTTTATGTGACGAAGAGCGACATCGAGAAGTACGGTCGGACCCCGTTGTGTCCGGGATGTGAGGCGCAGTTGCTTGAGACAGGGCGCAGGGCCCACAATGCCGAGTGCAGGTTCAGAATCGAAGGCGAGCTCATGAAGTCCGAAGAAGGGAAGAAAAGGATTGAAGCAGCAAAGGCAAGAATAGAATCAGGGCGTCGCCCCAAAGCTCCTAGAGTCGGAGGAGGGGCAGACGAATCAGAGGTTGTGGAAGCTGCCAACGTTCCTGCGTTGGTAGGCATTCCAGAGCCTGATGCCGAAATGGCCTCGGGAGAAGCTGTTGGAGAACCATTGGAACGAGTCGCACCCCGCGAGCTTGAGGAACGAGAAGAAGAGCCAAGAAGCCCAAAGAAGCACAAGTCCGGCGCCAGTCGGACAAAGAGAAGCCCAGAAGCAGATGTTGAGGAGTTGCATCAACAGATGCAAGAAGAAGCTCCAGCAGGAGGAGCAGCTGAGTCGGGACCAATTCCGGCTGCCGGGAGCAATGACCCCCGGCCACACATGCCGCCAGTCGCACCTCCAGATGCTTCACCAGGAGGAGACGACATGGTAGACATCGGACATCTGTCCATGTGTCTATGTTCAGTTTTGAGGGAAGCCCGGAAGAAAGGCAATGTGCAGAAGACTGTTTCAGAAATCTTCTCACCCCCAAGAGTTTCAGCGCAAGCTCAATTGGTTGGTTTGCGACCTGGATTCGCAATCGATCTTGAAACAAAGAGAGAGGATGGAGATCATTGGGATCTCAGCAAGGATTCACACATTGAAGACCTTTTTACGCTTTTGGACAAGGAGAAACCCAAACTTTTAGGTGGTTCACCGCCATGTGGACCATTCTCGCAACTTCAGAACCTTGTTGACGCCAGGAACCAAGTCCCCGCGTCAGTTAGGTCAAGGAGACTTCAAGAAGGTAAGAAGCACCTGAGAACCTCAGTGCGTGCTTACCGCGCACAGATGGACGCAGGTCGTTACTTTCTTCACGAGCACCCAAAGGGCGCACGAAGTTGGGAAGAGCCGGAAGTTGAAGAACTACGCAAAGACCCCCGCGTATACGAAGTCACAGGACCTATGTGTCGTTGGAAGATGGAATCCTCCGATGCATGGGGCAGAGGCCTAGTCAAGAAGGAAACCAGGTGGTTGACCAATTCGCGACACATCGCGGCGATACTATCTGGTGTTTGTTCGAATGTTGAAGGAAAGACTTGGCATAGACATGTGAACCTCATCAACGGCAGGGCGAGATCAGCACAGGTATATCCCCCACTGTTGGTTCGAGGAATACTGGAAGCTCTTAGAAATCAACTGGCTGAAGACGGTGAATTCAGTCAAGCTTTGAATTCCCTCGGTGCTGGGCCAGTACCAGATGCTGTTCCAGTCATCGACGAGGAACAAGAAGTTTACGACAGTTTCCCTCCCGCCGATTTGCCAGTCGCAGGACCAGTCTATGATTCCAACACCGGAGCGGAGTTGGATCTAGCTAAGGTAGCAGCTGCGAGACGCGAAGAACTGGATTGGGTGCAGAAGCAATGCATCTATAAGAAGGTGCCTGCAGAACAGGCACGTGCTGCTGGGAAAGTTCCCATCACAATGAAATGGGTCGATCGCAACAAGGGCGACCTGGACAGACCAAACTACAGGTCTCGGATCGTCTGTCGCGAGATCAAACGATCCAAGAATGCGGACTACATCCCAGAGCATGCAAGCTTTAGTGCAATGCCGCCACTTGAGGCTCTGAAGATGTTACTGTCACTCATGGTAACTCTCCGAACCTCAAAGCGCAATCGAAAACCTCTTAAGCTACGCCTACTGGATATCTCCAGGGCGCATTTCTACGGACATGCGCAACGAGAGATCTTTGTGACTCTTCCAGAAGGTGATCAAGAAGAAGGTATGGTGGGACTGCTGCTGAAAAGCATGTATGGGACGCGCGATGCCGCCCATATCTGGCAGCAATCCTATACAGATGTGCTGCTTGCAGCAGGGTTCAAAAGATCCGCTGCATGGCCAGCAATCTTCTTTCACGAACGCTTGGAAGCAAGGCTGCTAGTCCATGGAGATGACTTCGTCATTTTGGGCGATGACGCAGCGCAGGAGTTTGTGGAGAAGGCACTAAGAGAAAAGTACGATCTTCGTGTCGATGGAAGCATTGGCGTAGGAGAGGCAAAGCAGGAGTTTTGTGTCTTGAACCGTCTCGTACGTTTCGACGAGCGGTCAGGATCAATCTTCTACGAGCCAGATCCACGTCACGCCGAGATCTTGCTCAAGGATTTAGGCATGGAGACGTGCAAGCCAGTCAAGAGCCCAAACGAAAAGCTAACTGCAGAAGCGCTAGCCAAAAGGTTAGAACTGGATGTGGTTGATCCACACAGGATCAGTCAATATCGTTCGCTCACTATGCGAGCAGCGTTCTTAGCCCAAGACCGTCCTGATTTGTCAGAGACAGTCAAGTGCCTCGCACGAAAGATGCAAGGACCCACCGAAGCTGATTTCGGTGACCTGAAGCGTCTAGCTAGGTATTTGAAGGGCAACATGCGAATGGTGCAGAAGTTCACTCCGCAGAAGTTCAGCAATGTTGTGTCAGTTCATGCCGACTCGGACTTCGCAGGCTGTCTTCTCACTCGGAAGAGTACTACAGGTTTGGTCTGCTACTATGGGCGACACACTTTGCGCCACTCGAGTAACCTACAGTCCACAGTCAGTCTTTCATCAGGAGAAAGCGAATACTATGCCTTGGTCAAGGCAGTGGCTTCCGGAATGGCAACCCAGGAGCTACTTAGAAGCTGGGGCATTAACGTGAATCTCCAGGTGTACACTGACTCAGCTGCAGCACTTGGAACGTGCAATCGGCTTGGACTTGGGAAATCGAGACGCATACAGACCAGATACCTCTGGATTCAGGAGAAGTTGGCCGAGCGATCGTTCGAGCTGATCAAGATCGACACCAAGCTGAATACCGCCGACATCTGTACCAAAGCATTGGCAAGCGAAGCTGCAGAACGCCATCTGAAGGCAATGGGTTTCGAAGTAGTTCAAGGACGTTCATCAATAGCAAAGGCTGTTGTGTAGTGTCCCAAAGTGGACAATGGCCTAAATCACCCACTGTCCAGGAGGGGTGATTCGGGACACGTACCCTCATAAACCATGAGGTGTATGTACCTTGTTTTGGCTCAAGTAAAATAGGAGTGTTGCAATTTTCTGATCAGTACATGGTGATATAGGTGTGTGTTATTATGCACATTTATGTATTGATAGGTATTGACAGGTATGGACATGTATGCGTATATACATACATGCATACATGCATATGCATACATGCATGCATGCATACATGAAGTACAGAGATGCAGATACAGATACAAATCATATACTGATACAGATAATATACATATACATATACATATACATATGCAATATGCAATATGCAATATGCACTATGCACTATGCAATATGCAATATGCAATATGCAACATACAATACAAATTCAAATACATATACGCTCATGTGTATGCATGTATACGAAGTCACACACACACACATTCTTTGATATGTTTTCATTTCCCAGGTACACATTTTGAGATTCTCGTGTTGGGAAGCTAGAGCAAGACCTTGCCAAAGAGATAAGTATCCGCATGCCGAATGGCGATAAATCGTCGTTGCCAAAGTCTGGAAGCTCAGGCAATGTTGATGTCGAGGCTTTTGCTGCTGTCTTGGCCCTTTGCCTGAACTTAGCTCTGTGAAATCGGATGGTGGATAGATTCTTAGAGAATCGTAGCAGGTCCTTGGGGATCTTCAAGTTGTGTCCAAGAATTGAGAATCATCATGGGTGGCCGGAACCGCAGATTTGATGTAGTTTTGGCAGCGACATCCCAGGATCGGATATGCCGCCGTGCAGATGTCTCTGCAGACATATATCGGCGCTTTGTTGACTTGGGTTCTGGTCGTGGTATGGCTGTTTGGACGCCCAGAAATCTTCAAAGCAAGCATTTCTATGTCATCCTGTTTGAAATCTCATGCAGTTTTTTTTTTTAAACGTTATGATGTTGATTCTTTGCCAAAACTGGCGACGCGTCGGTTTTGTTTTGGCAATTTTGGCAAGTTTCCCAAGGTCTTTGCAGCCCACGCCTTATTCCCTTTTCGACAATGTGTAGGTTGGGGACCTGGTATCGCATCGCAACAGGCACTACGGCACTACCGATTGGACAATGAACCTATTGTGAATCCCCTAAAAGGATGAGATCCCCTGCAAGACTCACCTGAGTCAAAGGTATTGAGATCTCGGCTGAGTACAACGACTCTGCTCGTCAACTGGAACAATGGTATGTGGCTTCGCCCAAAGAGTTGAAACCGGTAAAACCACGCCTTTGAAGACACAAAAATCATTAGTTACAATTAATTACTATTGTTCTGGTCGATGGCCAAGCCGTAGACATCTTGTGGTCCTTAACTTTCTTTCTATGGTCCCGTCACCATGTGAGATCTACCCTCTGGTATTCAAACATGGCAATGGATAAATCCTCCCACTGGAAATTATTTGTAGATGATTTTCCATTTTTTCGGACATTTTCCCAGCCATGTTTGAGTACCGGAGGGTAGACTTTTTGTTTGTCTTGACTGCTGTTAAGTTCTGACTGCAGATCGGCTGAGGCAAAGGCTTTCATGAGCTCAGCAGCAATGAACGGACAACACATGTCACGGTCGATGCTCGGACAGCACGGTCGAATCGTCGAAGCAAAATGACGTGGCAGAGCTATTTTTTTGGAAACCATTGACAAATTGACAATCATTGACATTTTTGGATGGCTTCAAAAGCTGACCATATTTGGGAGGATGAACATCCAGGATTTATACCATGTTTTGGGAGGATTTAATCATCTTCAAAAGCTGAACATCAGTGAAAACCCAGAGGATGAACATCCGATGCCGCACTGCCGCACTGCCACAGGATGTTCGTGCAGGGTGACGTGCTCACAGAGGATTGGTCGGATGCATCTGCCGCTCAGCTGAACTGACGAAGCTGATGGCCGCCCAGGGAACGAAGGGAACGAATCTGATGAGGGAAACATTATCCCACTATATCCCACAAAAAATCCCCATATAATATGTTCCATGGTCAAAAGTTGGATTGGCCATATTAAATGGGATGGCCAGGCCAGTCCATTTCCTGGGATTTAGATGAAAACGAACTTTGTAAGGATTCCAATTATGGGCTGGATGACAATAAACCACATACTATATATGTAACTTGACCCGAGCACATATACCCTCTGGTTTTTGACATCGCTATGGAACATGGACCATGACTTCTGAAGATTTGCGAAATTAAATGGTGAAAAAAAATCCGTGACCAACGGAGGTGTCCTGGAACCCCCCTGTGATTTCACCCGCCCGAGGTGGTCTTTCTGAACTGCGTCACCTGGCCCAGCAGTCTGCTGCAGGCCGTGGCGCGCAAGGCCCTGCGGCTCCGGCCCGGTGCCGTGGTGATCTCTGGGAAGCGTCACTGGGCGGAGGACGTGGAGCTTGGGTGGGCCCAAATGTTAATTGGGGGTGGGTCAAAACCTATTATTATCATTTCTAATGGGATGAACATCCATTTACCAGCTATTTTGGGGTTCACTAGGTGCCAGGGTTTTGACCAATAGCCAATTCATGGCTATTCATGGCTATGAATGGTTCACAATGTTTATTCATGGCTATGAATGATGGCTGTTAATGGATATCATGATTTTCATCATGGCAAACAATGGCTATGAATTGTTCATAATGGCGATGCAATGGCTATTCAGAAGGTTGCTTTTTCTATCCCCCGGAATATTCAACAACCCCCAAAAAAACCATGATTTAGTCGGAGATTTACACATACTTAGGATCATACAATAAGTCTGTTTAATATGAAGAGGGGATGGATTGATCAACCATCTCCAATTTTTGTTATAAATCAATAGAATAAAAACCATAGCCACACAGGGTTTCATGGCATTGGCTTTATAGATTCTGATACCCCCTCAACAATGGCTAGATGTATGGAAATACAGTAATGCTGTGGGGAACAACAACTGGAGAAGTACAAAAACGACTGGAGCGTGAGGGCTTAAACATGGAGTTGAAGTTTCGGAGAACTGGGGAGGGCAAACTTAAGGAACTTTGAGACTATAGAGTCCGAGGAAGTTATAGTTATTTGAAGGAGGACAACTCCAGAAAATGATGTTTACAGACAGCGCTGAGAACGCCAACACAAAGGTAGACAGAGATCCTGGGTTTGCCGAGATAGAAAGGCTCAAATGGATGTACCAGTTTTGAGGCAGTTAAGAATGGTGACTTGATTTGAAGAAGCTCATGTGACGGTGTGCCCTAGAGGTACAGTTGATGTGGATTATGTTGTTAAGCGAAAACAAGTTGCGGCCATGCTGTCTCATTGTACGCTTCTGGTTTTGTTGGTAGTTTGGGCGATGCCAGTTGACACCAACCGCGTTTGACCCTGAGGCTTTCCGATTGAATCGGCAGTGATGCGAGGCAACTGCTGCATTGGTTTTCATCGAGAATGTGATAGGCAGTGGGCCCCCTTTTTTATACGAGGCAGAGATCAGAGATGAATCAAAGATATTGAAAGATAAAGTGATCTTGTGAGTGGTTTTCAAATGTTTTCAACTTTCCACTTGACACCATATAACTGAGATTAACTGAGGATAGGTCCCCCTAGATGGTAAGCCCAGGGAACGCCGAACACCGTGTCACAGGCTTCGACTTTCGTGGCGAGGCGTGCATGGGTGACTGGACCAAGTGACTTGCATCAATGCATCAATTTGAACATGAAAAAAACATCCGATTTCAACAAAACAAACCTGCATGATGATGGTGCAATTGCACTGAGGCATGCTGTCGAACTTTGGGCATATCAAAGGGTTCCCTTATGCGAATTAGTGAAGGTTTCTGACAGAAAATTTCTGGCAATAAATCAATATAAAATATTGAATATTGATACTATTATATATAATATCTATATACATATTGTTTACTCGCTTATAGTGAACTCACCCCGCCTGATCCAAAATCTTGCGTTTAGTTGGGGGGGACTTCCCGGGAAAGTCGCCCCAACATGCGTTTAGTTGCCGTGGAGCAGTTGCGTAAGATAGAAAACGATGCAGAAGTAAATATTTCTTCATTTAGCTTGTGTTTACACTGGTGAACTTGTTTTTTGGTCATGCCTGGCTCATTCATGTGACCTTCGAGCAAATCCAGTCACGTGTCGGGGGGGGTGCCTTTCTAGAGTAGTTGCATCGATTCATCCAATTACAGTAGATGCTGGCCTGCAGCTAGGCTGTTGTCGGGCTGATGCTGGGCTGCTGCGTGCAAACTGCTGCTGAGCTGCTGCCAGACTGCTTCTAGACTCCTGCTAGAGACTTGCTGCCGGGCTGCTGGTAAACTGTTGCTAAAGCTGAGGGGTTTCCAAAGCTATTTTCTGGCCTCGTCCGGGCCTCATTTTGGATTTGTTTTTGATCTCGTTCGGAACCCATTACAAACATATTGAATTAAAATATAAATTAGAACCATAAATTTAATATTAAATATATTAAAATATACATAAATTATATATTTACATTATATTTTGAATTAAAAGACGACATTTTTAGATATACATAATATATTTTATTATATTTTGAAGATTATAAATAAATATATTTTATAAAAAAAATCTAAATATATATTTTGGG